TAAATAAAAATTGAAAACTTGTTCCAGTTTGAGGTTTATAGCAAGCTTATATAAGGAAGTAGTGAACACCTGGCAGAGTGGTTATAATGAGACTTACGCTCAAGTCACACCATAATCGATTTGTCAAGGTGACTTCTTGAAAATATTGGCCTGGGAGACAATCCCAGCATGCAACATCATTAGGAAATGCTTGAAAACTCATGCAATGGGTTGACCCAAGCTTTTGGAGTGAAATTAGGTAGATGAAACTGTTGAACTAGCATAAATTTATTGTGACTGAGGGATTAAGTGTACTGGTCTTGTTTAATTACTGATCATGCCAGAAACTAACTAACTAACTAACTAAAGTCCTCTCAGCATAGTTCTAGCATGTCACGAGTTGGCTCTGTGGGTGTTGAAGACACACAAATGTGCCTGAGCAGGTGTTTGCAAAAGGGACTAGCTAACCACCTTACTAGATTGGCTGGTGTGGGGTTACATAAAAAAAACCCAACAAACTAAAACAAAACCAAACGTCTGGCCATTTGGTCTTCAGGACCAATCACTTATATAGATGAACTAGAGCAACTACATATCTAAAGCACATTAATGGGTACTACTCGAGAAAAGTATTTTGGGAACAATACCTGTAGATTAGCATTCTTAAGACCTTCCTCAAGCCATGGCCAAAAATATTGATTTTTTTTTAAAATCAATTTAGAAGGTTGGTGGGGGATGTCCTGTTCATAATATTTCTGGCTTTTTAGAGAGTTATCTGTACTTTGTTTTTGTTTACAAACCACAAGTTTGTAACTGTGCTTATGTCAGTGATAACTACATATGACTGATATTATATATATATATATATATATATATATACACACACACACACTTAATTTCTAAACTTTTTGATGCTTTTTTTTTTTTTTTTGCACAAAGAGTGAGGAACATTAATCAATTTGACACTGTATTTATAGTATGAACAGAATCCCCTTCTAAATTTATATATAAAAAAATCATTTTTCAATTCTGACAAATGTTATGGCTTGAAGGTCTAATGAATCTACAAAAAAATTATTCTCTGAAATGTTTCTGTTTTTTTTTTTTTTATTTAAAAAAAGTGGATCAGTAATAATGCCCAATCATGAATTGGTAATTGTCCTTGGACCAATCTATTAGCATGAAAAAGCTCTGTTAATAAACAGAGCTTTTTCATGCCAATAGAACGGTCCATGGTTTTTGATAGGAGTGCAAGAATATTAGTAAACATTCCCTACATAAGTATAGACAAGCACATTAATTTGTTTCATGTAACTCAGTAAAGCTTACTTTACATTTCATGGATGACCAAAAGATTTTGCCTTTTAATATTTGCCAGATGAATAAATCAAGAATTAAAAGTAAATGGTTGCATGCAAAATTTCAGAATATTAATTTTAATTCTGAAGGAATCAACTGAAAATTACAAATTTTTAGATAATTAAATTTAATATGAATATCAGCAGTGAAGGTTAGTAAAATATATTAACTTATTTTTGCACAATAGCAATAGTTTTAAACCTTTTTAGACAAGTAATCACTAAACTCTTCATTAGAGGAACACATTTTGTATTTTACATATTTTTCTTTGGGCCACAGAAAATAAGTTTCATAAATGAATGAATAAAATTTGGATTTTTTTGCTAATCACAAATAAAAATATAATAGTAGGCTGTAGTTTGGGAACCTCTCTGGTTTAGAGAAATGAAGTAAGGATAAAACTCTGATAAATAAGATAGAAGCCAGTTATGAAACTTGAAATCTCTCAATTCTTACCATTAACACTTGAGCCAAACCAAAAATGCACATTTTATCTCTGAGTGGCAGATATTAAAGTTCAGTTTTATCTCAAAGGCAAAAATCAGGCAGGGGGTAAAGTAAGTAAGTAAGTTAAGAAAGATTAGCACACTGCAACCTTTCTTCTCATTCCATTTCTGAATAACAGTTTTATTTTTGATTAAAAGATAACCCATATCTGCCCGACTTGAAAAAACAGCATTCAAAATCCTAGCCTTTACATCAAACACCAACAACAAGCACTGGTGAGAAATATTTTAGCCACAAAAATTGGTTCAAATGCTAATATTATCTTTAGTGCATTTTGTAACAATTTCAATTTTTCTTGTTAAACTTTAAATAAGAAAAAACTTTTTTTAACAATTCACTCCAAATAAGGCATTAAAGCCACTAAAGTGCAAGGGATAAGACAATATGAGAAAAAGAAAAATAACATTAATTTAAGGAGCAGTTTTCTCTCTACCCAAGAAATAACTAAAAGCATCTCTTGGGCTTTATAGTTGAAGATGAGGTATTATGTTTATCCAGATGATGATTTACTTTAAATCTAAAATAGGAAAGGAAGGGAGAGGGCTTTATATGTCCTCAAAATACAGTTCTTTAGTTACTATACAAGGTGGACTTCAGTTAATCCTTAAGGAATCTCTATTCATGGAATGAAAGAATCTGAGACAGGGCCTTATTCAGGGATTAGGTCCTTGATACATTTCTAATTACACTATGTATAAACTAATTCTCCCTCGACACACAAAAATAAAAAAAATTAAAATTCATAGCCAGTGTGAGTCAGAGTTTTCTTTGTGCTACTGGTACAACCTTTCCCATAGGTTTTAGGAGGAAGGCTTTTTGTTTTAGTCCTTATTTGAAGTAATGGAAGTTTAAAAAGAAAAGAAAAGTTAGGTGGATGTTCATTTTCATTCTCTTACCAATGAATAACCACTTTTTGTGGCATTAGTTTTGGCTCAAATTTGTAATTTTTCTTAATAGAGTATCAAAATATTTAGTGGTCAGTCTTGTATATTTCTTTTTAGGTTGCAGATAAGTCAAGTTGTCAGCTTTTTGTAGCTTTGCCTGCAGAAGGTTAAAATTAACAATACAGAGAATGACATTTTGAAATTTTTTCTTTAGTCTATTTTCCATGGTTAATGGTGCAAAGCATTGCCAAGAAAATTACACAGTAAATAAGCTCAGTTGTTTGTTGCATAATGCTGTTTAATCTCTGAATTTCTGGGATGAGGAGTTATTATTTACATGCAAACTATTGTTTGCATGTAAATAATGATCTGTTTTTGTTTTCATCATTAAAAATTTACTTTAAAAACATTTTATATATAAAGAGCAAGGTTTATTAAAAATTCTCATCAACTTTTATATAGAATTCAAGATTTTGTATTGTTACAGGATTTGGGCTTTGAGAGTTTCACAATCAAGCAAGGTTCTATTTGCCTCTAAAGCACATATGCAAAACAATTTATAAAGAATTAATGAATTTTTAATTTTAAAAATAATCCAAAATAATGTTTGAAGTACTGAAAATTTGTCAGATTAAAAAATAAAATCCATTAATTCTTTATAAATATATAACCACCTGTCTTGAAACATCAGCATGGATCCAAATATATTTACAAGGTTGATCCTAAATAGAATGCTGTATATATGCTACACCCTCGCCATACACAAAGGTGTCAGTTCATAAGTAAATGATATCATACAAATACTACTGTGATATTAAACATGAACACAGGATTGGAGGTCTTTTATATGCCATTGAATACAGTAGTTGAGGTTTTCAAAATACCTTGTTGAAAACACTTTCATAATAATGACACTTTAATAACCATTGATAATATCAACAACAAAAGATGTGTGAATGACATTAAGGGTTTCTTGCTCAGTTGCATGCACTGAAGATAATATTAACAGAAATAGAAAATATACAGAGAAGTCAGTCAAAAAATAACTTGCTGTTTTATTATCATGATGATTTCGTAAGGTCAAGATAACCAGCAACTATTTCCATAAAATATACATTGGAACACAAGGGAAGTCAAGTAATCTTTGTCTTATTCTTTTTGTAATGGGGTGGGTAGGGAGGAGAGGTGTGGGGAAAAAAAAAAAAAAAAAAAAAGGAAATTTCTATATTAAAAAAGATTTGGAGATCCAAGCAAAGAAAGGGAAGAGCATGAATAGAAAAAAAAAATTCTGTTAATATTAATAATGATGAGGAAAAAAAAGTTTTGAGAATTTGAAGCAGTTATTAGAAAAGCATGGCAAAATCCATTTCAAGACAATAAAAATTTAGTCTGTGAATTTAAGGGAGGGGGAATAATGAGAATTCATTTTTGACTTATAAAGAAAGTGATGAATAATTAATAATTTAAACTAAAACTAAATGAACCAGCTTATTCTCTTTCCCAAAAGCTAAGCCTAATACTAGACGTTTAAAAATAGGCATGAAATATTTAAAAATCAAAAAGTAATCATGTGGAAATCAAGCAGGGATGCAAAAGGAGTTTGTGGACCATGCCACAAGAAAACATTGAACTGGCGAAATATACATAAAAAGAAAATTATTGGCAGCTTTTGTACAGTTGCCTTTTTTCCAACCTTTCAAAAGAAAGCATTTTCTTTTAAAAAAAGGTATCAGAAGCACAAAAATCAATTCTAGAAAATTCTAGAATAAAGACAAAAACAAGTATATCTTTGCAAAATGTTTACTTGGTCCACATATCTTCCAATTAATAAGCCAATTAAAAACTGCTAGGGACGAAAAGAGGATTAAGGGGAGGATGGGAATTGATTTTAAGGCCCTCTTGTTTATAACCATCTTTTATTTCATTGCATTTTTTTCTGTTTATATATAAGGATGGCAAAATTCTTGTTGAGAGCAAGAATGGTCACAAATAAAAATATTAATAATGAAATAAAAAATAAATTAAATTGGAGTGGGGGTTAAGAAATTAAGGCTGAAGAGAAGTGGGGTAAAAAGTAATATTTAAATACTTGTAAGTTTATATATATGTATGTATATATATATAGGTATTGTTCCAAGTATTGGGTTTAAATATGGATAGTTAACTGGATTGATCTTGGTTGAAAAGTAGAAAAAAAATTACAAAAGAGGGAGAAAATAAATAAAATTAATATTAATTAATAAAAAAAAAAAAGTTTTTTTTCATTTGAAATCATTTGTCCGAGACAAAAATTTCTACTTCTTGATTTTGTGAGGCATCAGACTGCTTTCTCATTGCAGCACGTTTGTCTGCGAGCATCTTCCGCCTTGCTTCCTGTCTTGCTTTGGCAGCCACTCTAGCTTTTTCACTCCACTCTGGTGATGATTCTGGTGTGCTTTTTATGATCTTGCGTTTCAGCCCTGCAAGAGAGAGACAGATAAATCATGATACTCATATATATATATATATATATATACGTCTTTCCTATCACCATTCCAACATACATAGTGATACAAGAATATCTTATAGAGGTAGGTAAAGAGTAGCCAGATAGGTATTTAAGCCATTCAAATATAGATAAAAGGATTAAACATCCCTGATGCAAAAATGTTATAACCAATCAACTGTTACATTTTCTAAAAATGTCATAACTGGACTCGACCACTTTTTTGTTGATATAGAAGAAAAAAAAAAAAAAAAATCTTTATAAAATTTGGAATACTGATTTACTAACCAAAACCATTTCAACAGTTAGTATTCTAGCATCTTAATTAACACTTCTGCTATTGTGGATGTACTTAGTTTTTACAAAACTTACATTGCCTGCTCTGTGTGTGTGTGTGTATATATATATATATATATATATATATATATATATATATATATAAAAACAAAAGGAAAACTTAGCCAATGCATTTCATCCTTTGACAGATTTTATTAAGATAAATGTGTGGATTTTATTTTGCAATAAGTATTTATAAAAAAAAAAGTAAAAATGTTACATTTAAATTTTTTTTAATTTAAAGGTTTCTCATGAATATTTATGAAGTTAACTGAAAGATCTATGTAAATTATGGCAGATGCTAAGTGACATAATTCAATGTCTAATAGACTAAAGTGAGTAAATGATAATGTTGAATTTTTTTTTTTTAAAAACATCTTTTGTTAAATATGGCACACAAGGAAAATTTTATTAATTTTTTTTTTTAATTTTATTTAGTTTTCCAGTGTTCTTACATTTTTCCATTTGGTGGAAGTGAGGGAGTACAAAAAATGTCCATTCCATCCATTATCCAAAGTGCTTTCAGCCACTTCCTTAGACATTTTCAAGGTGGGGTTTTGTTTTCGTGGTGTTAGTTTCTCTTCATGTTTTGATTGTTTGGAATGTATTTTTTGCGTTGTTTTGAATAGGAGTGTTTATTTCAAGCCTTCACATGTTTTCTTAAGAAAAATTCTGGTTGAAAACATTAAAATTTTATGTAAATCAAATTACCAAAAACAGCTTGTTATGAGAAAAGCCCTGTATTTTAAACATCAGCTCACCCACTATGACCCTTACCTTCTTTAACAATGGGAGTGACATGCTGAAAGTTTTTTTAAAAAATTGGAAGATGCTCAATTGAATTCCACCTGCACTCAACATACAAAGGCTCAAAATAAATGCTCCTACTAGTATTTACCTGCTTAAAAATGGCCAAGGAAGTGGCTGAAAGTGCTTGGAATAATGGATGGTATGGACAGATTTTTGTACTCCCTCACTTCCACCAAATGGAAAAATTAAATATATAGTGTTTTTTTTCAAGACACTGGCAAATATTGGTCCTTAGTGTTTGTGTTATAAACTAACTAGTGCTTAGTGCACTATTACAGACATATAGCAATATACAATAAAAATACAGCCTGTTTGGTAATCTGTTTTTATTCTATTGTATATTCAGGTTATTTTGCTTATTGGGTACTGCCAAGTATCTGATGAAAGCCAAATGAGAGTATCTTTATGGCCAATTATTTCCAGTAAATGGCACTTTCCTGTCCCACCCTTCAAATGGGCCAGCACAGCCAAGTAACAATGCGATAACATTGCAGCAGTGAAAGTGTTAATTGTTTATTTAATTGAAAAGATTTTCGGTTAATACTCATGATGTCAAAACTCAAGGTCTCATATCAAATATTTTTTTTTTGAGAAATGAACCCCTTTTTTGAATACTTGCTTTAAAGTTAAACTCAAGGAGTATAGATCAAAGGTAAAGTAGAAAAATCTTTTCTATCTGGGGTGGGGTGTTGAATAATGAATATTACCAGGATTGAACTAGAGAACTTAACATAAGTATGTGTAATACTCTTATAATAATCAGGTTAATAAAAAAAAAAAAAAAGAAAAAAAAAAAAAGGTGTCAAAAGCAAAGCACAAAAATCATATCTAGAAAATTCTAGAATAAAGACAAAAACAAGTACCTTTGCAAAATGTGTACTTAGTCCACATATCTTCCAATTCATAAGCCAAATAAAAACTGCTAGGGACAAAAAGAGGATTAAGGGAGGATGGGAATTGATTTTTAAGTTTATAAGCATCTTATTTCATTGGGCCAACTTATAAGAGTATAGCATTTCTGTTAACTTGAGTTCCTGAGTTCAATCCTGGTAACAGTCATTGCTCAACACTGGGTACACATTACTTCTTCTGGGAGGAGGTCCGGGGGAGCATCACTGAAGAGTAAGAATGTTAAAGGTGGTAGTGAGGTTCAGGTCAGGTTACAATGGATTTTAATACATGATTTTTCTTTACTTAGCAAAGGGAATGCTGAAGTGCTCTTCTTGGATATTTAGTGTAGTTGGCATTCTGAAAATGAATTCATCAGACTAATATATTATGACAACTTTCTATTCTCGTTTGTTCTTTTCCCCTACAAGACAGACATATTCTAGGGATCTAACAATAAAAAATGATGCATGAAACAAAAACATTGTGTTAGCAGCAAGTATTTAAGGAAGGGGTTCAATATTTTAGTGACTTTTCAAAATGGTAGACAGTTACACTTGTTTCTAGCATGATAAAAGAATTATTAAAACTTGACAGAATTGATCTTGTCCAGTTATTTAGACTTTAAACAAATGAGAATTGATGCTGTGTTAATGATTAGTTATTAGTTTATTGTTCATTAAAAATCTATTTCACAACTTTTAATCATGCTAACATAATTAGCAATAAAGTTTTTGTTTTTAATTCTCTGTTGCCTGTAATTGCAAATATTGTTTCAGGCTTCAGTGCCTAAGCTAAGTCAATATTTAATTATTTTGTTGTTGCTAAAACTTAAGATTAAATCATTATTTTTAATGTTTAAGTCACTGATGAAACAGCAATTATTAGATTAAATGTTGGATAAAGAGGCCATAATAATAATTAAAAAAAAACTTAAATTTATATTTACTTAGGAGGTGAAGGTAGCCTTGTTGTTAAGAGCATAGAAAATAGAATCAATTTAAATTCTGACTAGGATAGTATGTCCCCTTTGCTTTTATTAACCATTTCTTCTCTTGCTATGAGTAAAGTATAGCAGACTGAACTCTTTGGCAAAACATATGTAAAAGAGAATCTCTGACATGTACAATTGGATAAGAAATAAAAATCATGTTTATTTAGGTTATGCATTCTCTTAGACAGTTGAAAAATGTTGAACAGTTTCCAAAAACCAAACATTAAGGGGGCATTTTATTAGCTGTTCACAGGCTAATAGTCCCATGTAGTCAGTTCAACCCATACATGGAGCCTTATACCGGAGTAAAGTTATCATATAACTATATATATATATATATATATATATATATATATATATATCTCAATCACACATTCTTAGGATTGTTTTGAAGCTCATTCCCATTTTGATATGTTCAGACTTCACTAAGTGTCACACATTCACAGCCATGAATTATTTGCTCAGTCTGCTGCTAGCAAAGTCGGTTCTCTGCATCATACTAGACAATCTATCTTGCATATTTACAAGTCTACCATTTGTCCATGCATAAAATATTGCTGCCAAATATGGTCTGGTGCTCCTGATATATATTTAGAAATTCTGCAATGTCATTGGTCTTGACCTGGCATTTTGGCTTCAGTCACTTTCCCACTGCAGTAATGTAGCTTCCCTGGGCCTTTTGTATAAATACTTTCATGGTAAATGTTCTGATGAACTCTCCTCTATGGTGCTTAGACTTTATGAATTCAAGCACAGTACTAAATTGGTGGCAAGATTTTATCATTTTAGAGTTGAAATGTTTAGATGTAACCATATGTTTTATGCTAACAATTTCTTTTCTCATACTTGTTTTCCATTTAAGTTTGATCCTCAAAAATTTAAATGCAATGTCATTTGTTATCTTCTTAATTTCTGTTCATCATTTATCGTTTTCACTCCTTAATAATTTTTTTCTTATATTCTTTCACTCAGTAACCCCCTGCATGTTAGTGGCTTTGTTGCCTTGCTTGAGGTGAAATGATTAAAAAAAAAAAAAAAAAAAAAAAGAAGAAGAAGAGAAAGGGGCCAGACTAAGAGCCAGTCTAGGAGGGGACTGAAAAGTTCTTGCCTCTAATCTTCTCCCTTCAAATAAGATTTTTTTTTTTCATTTTTAGAGGGGGGGTGGACTGCTTGATCTGGCCTGACCTGATATCCTAAAATGTTTCTTCTCATCAGCAGAAAATGGTATGAAGCAAAGAAATAATTTATATTGGAAAAACATTTTGAGCATTCCCTGACCCCAAATTATGACTGAGTTTTGCAAGGCTTGCAGAAGGAGATGTAGGTGTAGGAAAAGCTTGCAGGATGTTTTGAGTGCATACAAAAAATTGTATGCTAGGAAAATTCATGGGGCTAAGCAATCGAGCATAGTTTAATATTTCAAGCCGGTCACAGCAGACTATTTACCTTATCATAGAAGAAGGCCATTTTGAGGATTGGTGTTCTCTAAAATGTAGAACTTTTGTTGGGGAGGATCTAGATATACTTTTAGTTTTTATTACTTGATAATGAAATAAATATTCAAACTGACAACTATCTCCTGTTGCTATGGTGATACCACCAACCAATCTTGGAGATCCAGATATAGCTGTGACAAAAGAAACTGTTTAATGTAATTTTTTTTTTTTTCTGGTGCTTCTGTCTGAATTACATAGATGAGGAATTAACAAACATTCAGACTATTGTCCGCATCTTTGTTGTTGCTACTATCACAACGTTACAGCCATTGTACCTTCTAGCCTTTTTCAGGTGTCTGTTGATCCAGATAACCTTTAGGGAAAGTACGACCTGAACCCTTTATTTAATTTATGAGAGCAGATTGTTCTCATTCTGCTGTTCTTGTCTACAGACATCTTGTCTTGTTCTTATTTAGTACTGTTCACATTGCTCACCATTTGCACTGTTTAAGTCTGTACTACTCGGCCCAGGGATTGAACTCATTCACAAACCAATGCTTTAATCAACAGGAGTTTTCTCTAGAAAAAAAAAATTAGTAATTTCTGGGTCGTAAAATTATTAAACTTTTTAAGGTACGCGATTTTAATATCTTAACTAAATGCATGCAAATAAGACAAAGGGAGAAAGAAATGAGGAGCAAGTTACATTAATATTCTTAAAAGAGGATATAGAAATGGCCACCTGAGGTAACTAGTTCAATAGTCATAATAATAATAAAAAAACTGACATTCTCTTATTGTTAGGAGAGGGATTAATCATGCTGCAATTATTTGATATGAAGAATTTGCTTCTTATGGAGAAAGGAAATAAAAATCAACTGATTGTTGACTTTAAACAAAAGAGCAAGACTTCAAAAATGCTTGAATACCTCCCTTCAACCCAAATTTCCATTCCAGGTCAAAGTTCATGCTATCCTGTAATTATATATATATATATATATATATATATATATATATATATATATATATATAATAAAACAAACAGTACATTCAAATATAGCACTTCTTACCTCTGATGTGAAGAAGCTCTTTTTTTACAACTCGTAGTCCTGCTCACCTATCAAATGACAATTATGTCAACAAAAAATACAAACAATACTTGCCAGGAAGGTATTTGTTTTCATTTTTTAAATTTATTTATCATCATCATCATCATCAATAGAAGTAGTATCATTATTATTATTTACTACTTGATAATTTAGAGATATAATGAGTAATTTATTCCAAGAAATGTTGTAGCTAATAAAAATTAGATTTATAAACAAGGAAAAATGGTTTATATTTTAAGAAGGATTTGTTAAATAGTACTGATATATTTTAACTTCTTAGCATTATCAGTTATTTATTTTTTTGTTTTACTCTTATTTCTCATCATAAATTAAGTTGCTTTTTTTAAAATTCCAAATCTCTCATCATTCCAGGATCTATGAAAGTTAATATTACAACTAACATGTAAACTGAAGATGGTTAAATATCTGGCATGAGTCAAGGTAGAGAAATAAAGAATATAGCTATATGGTTAGATTTGAATGGCTGCTACCAGCAGATCTTTGGTGCTTAATTGGTAAGGAAGCTGTCATAGTTAGACAAGCTCTTGAAGAAGGGCATATGAGTGAATCTTGCAGAAAGTATTTTTATATTTGGAATGAGGATATGAGATTTGAAATACATTGGGAAAGCAACAGAAATTAAGATAAAAGAAATATTAGTATAAAAAAAATAAAATTAGTAATACTTTGTAAATATAATTTAAAAAGTTGTTGCAGATCTAAGTGTTTACTTATACAGAACCATTTGTTTAAAAATTATGAAGGCAAAAAAAAGGAAAAATATTTCATCAAGAGATTAATATTAAGGTTACAAGTCAAATTTAACTGCAGACTTAAGTCCACATATTAGCAATGATGTAACCCAATATTAGTCATACTTGGTTACTAAATTAGTCATAGCTACTTTTACACTGCAATTATTGTGTTTATCGCAAAGAAAATTTACGTCAATATATCAGGTTTCTTCAGATGGCAGCCTAACCAATTATATATACACGCACATACATATGGAAACTTTTTTCAATTAATATTTATATAGTTTAGAAAAATCTTTAGGTAGAACACAATGGTGGCAGATGAATTTAGGGTCAATACTATATCATTAAAAAAAAAAAAAAACTTTAAAAATCTTATAAAGTCTACTTAATTTTTCAAATATATGAAAATTGTAAGTGATAATATCATTTTAAACCAGATTCTGCAAGTTCATATTCTGATAATTAAAAAAAAAAAAATTTTTAATGAGATGTTGCTATATTTTCTGCTCTGATGATAATACAAAAAATGAAAAGCTTTTTATATTGTAGAAATCTTTTTTTGAAAAGCCTGTTGATAACATTTATTCAAACTATGAACATTGCAAAACTAATAAGATTTTAACATTTTGCCATAAAAGACAAATAAGTAACCCTTGACAGCTAACATGAAAATGTAAAAAAAATGATATACAACTTCTAATGCATAATCAACAAACGCTATCTTAATTTAGAAAACAGACAGGTTTTTACTAAACGCTATCTTATATAAATATCTGTGAAACTAGAAAAGTGCAACTAATTTAATGAAAAAAAAAAAAAAAAGTACAATGCACACCAAACAATACTAACAGACCAAATCTATTACTAAACTAAGAAAAGACAATAAAATCTAACAAGGTTTACAATGTTGAACAATCACATTAAGATCATCCATCTAAAAGGAAAGATGAACATTTGATGGTGACAATAGATATACAAGAAAAATCCAATAAGCTACTCAAGAAATGATAGCTTAAAAGTTTTGAGATCACATGCATCTTGTGGAATGTTACATGTTGCCCAATGAATGTTTATCCATTCTATAGTTTTATTAGAAGAAATATGAATAGCTATCTTTTTGTTTTTCAGATTTGACTTTTGTGAAAAAAAAAAGAAAAAAAAAGAAAAAGAAGCTAGTGCCAAGTATACACATGAGTGTCATTCATCATAATTTATGAAATTTAGTTTCATCATCCAAAATAAAACATTAGGTAGTCTTATATAACAATTTCTGATAGTAACTAAAAAAACAGAGATAACATTATGTAAAGGTTCAAATATCCAAACAGTGAATTTGTTAAGGATATTTGCAAAAGAAGCATGCTGGCTTGGAGATAGACAGTCACTAATCATGATCCCAAATTGTTTTTTCTCCAGTACACTATTTCAATTTGTATATTATCTTAAAGACATTACAGATGAAAAAAGGAATACTAACAATAACAACTCTGCTAAAACAAAGAACATACAAATTTACTTAAAGAAAGTTAGCTTAGATATTGAGTATCCAAAATAATCTGTTTAGCTTAAGACAGAGGTTCCTACAATGCATCATAACATGATTTTCAATATAAGTCAGAATGTATTTGTAATTTCACTTTCATGGTGATGACTTTACTTCTATTTGAAGCACCACCATTAGAAGCAATTACACTACACTTGGGAGCCATAATAGAGGAAAATGAATTTCCATAGACATAACACAAATGAAAGAGAGTGAATGCACAATAATATAGTATGGTGTACAACCAGGAAACAAAATTAATGAAGATTGCAGATTTATCATAGGTTGGGACTGTTGTAACCTGGGGATTTATGATAATGACAAGCTTTTTTTTTTTTGCCCCCCCCCCCTACATTAACTTTTTTGAAGCCCATCTTTACTGCTTTTTGTTTTACTATCATTTCATCCTGCTATAACTTAATTTTCTCGGCAAAGATGCCTTTTTCAGTTTTCCAGGGAATTGATATTTTTCTTTATGATGAGGATTCTATAAAGATCAGAATAAATAGTAATTGTAAAGTGTAGTTTCTATTGAATATCATAGAAAAGTAAAAACTTGTAGGCCAAGATGGACTCTCTTTTGTACCATTTGGAATAATCACATGAGTACAAATTTTTTAACTCACAAAATAATATAAGTTTTATAAACTGGAACAAAATTATTTAAGAATAATAAGTGTCATACCAAAGAAGCCCTATGATCAAAGGAAATAATTTAATCATTCTGGCCCCTATACACAGGGGTAAGAACATTTGTACTGGTCACATACACAAAATGTTTTTCAGTATATGAAAGCCACACATTAAAGCAACAGACAATTACTAAACTGATGCAAACTGTTTGGATTGGATATATTCACTATGTTGACTATCACACCGGTATTCTATAAAATTGATTTTTCTTCATGTTGCTATCAACCTCAACAAGTCTACCTGATTGTAGAACATCATTTGACAAGAAATCTCCATAAACCACTTTTGACATATTCAATCTTTTATAGTAAATAACATATAAGTTATACAATTTAAACATGGATATATTTTGGGATTATGTATAGATATGAAATTTTTATCTGGTTTACATTTAGATATAAACAAAAATATAGCATGGCATGTTTTGTGTTTTAAAGCAACAGATACTGTGTGTGTGTGTATATATATTATATATATATATATATATATATATATATATAAGTGGAGACTATGTCATCAATGTTTGTTGGGCTCATTACAATCTTTAACAAAATATACTATTGGCAGAACTTAGATGTTAAAATGATTCCTTTATTCTAAAATATATAATTTTTAAAAATCTCTGTGCATGAAATTTAAAAAACACATTTTGGTATTTTAATATTAATTGTAATAATTCTATAAAAATAAATATTTATATTGAAAATTTTTTCCAGACATCTAACAGAAAATTGTGAGGACAAAGTCTTTGATATGTTTATCTGTTTATTATTGCCTTTCCATTTTTTATTGTTTTATAGACTGGTTTTCAAATCACTGATGGTAGAGTGTGTGTTTGTATATATATGTCCATGCATTAGTGTGTTTATGTATATCTCTGTCTGTGAATTTTTACTTTAATTTATTGTATGTTTATGATCTGTACTGCTGACCGATATATTTTCTCATTAAAAACATTTTCCATGCATATTTAGTTATGTATTTGTGTACAGTTAATTATATGAAAAGTATATTTATTCATTAGTTGGAAAAACAATAACTTAAATATTTGTATGTGTATAAATATTTATCCCTCCCATCCCCCGTGTGTGTGTGTGTGTGTGTACTTTGTGGATTGAAAATAGAATTGTTACCTTCCTTGTATCTCAAAGAATAAAGGAAAATGATAGTCTAACTACAACCCAACAGGAAATAATTTGGACAACATATACAAAATGATCATGACAGTAAGTAAAATGTCAAATTCCATAAGTTCTACAAAACGGTACAAAGTGATGAAGTATAAAATGTATAGCTAAAGGGGGATAAGAAATATCTGGACAGTTTTGTGAAATAAATGATATAATTTCTGACATTCAAGTAGATAATGTGATATCTGCACTTGTGCTGACAGTTTTAATGCATCACACCACCACAATTTGCTTTCATCATTAGGTCAGGGGCTAAATATTGGTGGGGATCAGTTTTTAATTTTCAAGAGGAAATTGCTGATGTTACCATTGCCAATAGCAGGGTCAGCATTTGAGTGAGGTATTTTGAAAACAAAGATATTTATGTATTGTAATTCTAAGAGTTGAAATACAGGAGTATGAATAAAAAAAACAATAAGAAGCACACACACACACACACACGTGTGTGAATAAAGACAAAAGGAAAACTTATCTTAGTCAATGTGTTTTGTCCTCTGAGGGACTTTATCAAGTGTATTTGATAAAGTCTACTCTATCTGAAATTTTATACACACACACACAAACATACTCAGTGATTACACCATTGAGAAACATGACTCTGTAGCACGTTGTGGGCAGGGGAAGTCTAACCTGTAGAAATCCATTGCTGGATGTTGCTGCAATATGGAGCAGGCACCATGAATCAATGAAATATTTAAAACAGAAAGAACAGCTGAAAACTCATCAACATCATGCATGAAAGAACACATCCAGAGAGTGGATGTCTGGATCAGGGAAGACCAAGTAATCGTGTTAACACAAGTGGCAGCAATTGTGGGC